GGCGTGCGGTTGATAACTCCGACGCTTCCTCGTGGCGATGGTAGTCACGTACGAAGCGAATGTAATCCCGAATACGAAGTTACCGATGACGAATGGCAATGAGATTCTGACTACGAGATACGCTCGTTAAACGACGTCGCATTTTTGATACAACGTACAGGCGGGTACGGCAAAGCGACGTCACGGCAGTTCGCGCTTCTCTCTCTCTTTCTTTCTCTCTCTCTTTTTCGTCCAACTCTCCCCTTTTCTTCCTCTTCCTCCTTTCTTCATCGCTACTCGATCTTTCTACCCGGCATTGGTGATATCTATCGACGAAACGGATCTGTAAGCTGTCAATGATATCTAGACAATATCTCAGCCGTTAGTATATGTTAGAAATGGAAGGAGATAAAGACGAAAAATGAAAAAAAATATGCTACGAAGAAGAAGAAGAAATAGCTCAAATAAGAAAATAACTTGCCGCTAAATGTGTAACTTTTCATCTATCGAACTAATAACCTATTGGTATAAGACGCATTATTACCTGCTTTCATGTTACGTTTCTCATCTAATGGTAATCCGCATCTCATTCCCCTCTTATCTCATCCTCTGCGAAGATAATGTCTGATTGTGGCATCTTTCTTTTTTCCTCTTTCACGTCCTTTTCATTCCCTTCTACCACCATCCATCATTCGTAAAGCACGGGTTCATACGCAAGACACTACTTTGTACACTCCTGATCCTACGCTTTTTCTTTCTTTTCTTCTTTCTCGATTCTTTTCTCACACTTTTTACCATCCTCCCGCGCTGGAAAACATCGTCTGGTCTTAACATGTTTAGGGTTTGCGTCCTTGGATACGTTTAATTAATATGAAACGACCGGATCGACTGGTCTTGATGCCGCCTCTCTCTTCTTTCTCCTTTTTCTTGCTCTTTTTCGTTCTCACAAGAGCGCGAGAAATGACACGATTGCTCTTATTTCCATTTTCATCGTGTCCGTCTGGAATTTTAATATTCCACTATGCTTACTATATGACATTTTTAAATATAGTATTACACGACAGAAACACTGTCATGCGCTTGTGTGCAATTCAATAGTTTCAAAACCAGATTGGCAAATTCGTTGAATAATTATACTAACCATTATTCGTCTTTGACTAATACAACTCGTTTGCAGATTCTTCAAGTCACAGCGGTAGATCTGGACACGGGAAATAACGCGAGGCTGAGTTATCGTCTTCAGGGCTCGACCGCCTTTCGCATCAGCCCCAATACCGGTTGGATCTATCTGACGCAGAATTTGGATCGCGAGACTCTCGATCGGCACGCCTTGACGGTTCTCGCGACCGACAACGGATCACCCGCGGCGACCGCGAGTGCCTCCGTGCTGGTGACGGTTCTGGACGACAACGACAACGATCCGCGATTCGAGAAGGATTTCTACGGATTCGAGCTGCTCGAGAATCTACCCTCGGGCACTCTGGTGGCCTCCGTGAGCGCTACCGATCCCGATCTTGGCAAGAACTCACTTCTCAGATACGCGGTGGTCCAGGCCAACAGCAGTTTCGCCGTCGATCCCGACACAGGTAAGGACCTATCTGCCCATCTTATTTTCCTGTTTTTCGTTCTCTTCCTCCGTTTGCACTTTGTTTGCGTCGTCGTCAAATGCCACGATGTATATAGGATCTCGTCGTAACGACGCTCGAGTGTTTGCGAAAGCCCGCTCGGGCCCGGCTTGAAGGACCGAGCCCCGGAGATGCCCACGCAGCCTCGAAAACTCGCGGAGAAAAATATTGGCGAATCGTTTCCTCGGGTTCGCCGAGTTTCGGCTCGCGGCGTTCGTTCTCGAGTTGCTTGCAATTCGAGAACTTTGTTGAACGGACCCGGGAAGAATCTCGCATTATTCTCCGCTCTCGGGCCGGCTCGTTCTCGGAGAAGTTAAATTCACACCGGAGTTACGATCGTGCTTCTCGACAACCGTGAATAAGAGACGTACCACAAGCAGAAGAAACTTCCTGATTCGGTGGACAGACTCCCCTCGAGTACTTCTCGGGCTGCGGATGACAGTGATCGATTCGCAGCGATTAACATTTTGATTGTGCGTTTGGAATTTCTTCCTTTGCCTCGCATTATTGTCATATTTGCAACGCCACATACGACATGGCCGCAGGAATGGCGTCGCCGGGAAAAACGGAAGCGATCTCCGTGATTTGTCGTCGTCAATAATTTAATTCTCGTTAAAATCTTATCGAACTCGATCTTACACGTGTTTCGTTTTTCTAAACTATATCCCTTTCCTTTTTTTCGAAACGCTATCGCGACAACGTAATTGTACGTGCGTATCGCGCATCTTTTATTTTCTTTTATTTTCAGATATTCAATCTCGGTAATCGGTCTAACGTCCAGTCGATCTCTCGGCGTCGCGATCTCTTTCTCGTCTAAGCCTCGCCGTTGACTTCTATCGCTCTCCTCGCGTCCTCGCTCGCAGCTAAGTGCGGCAGCCCGCGGTTACTTCCTGTTAAGACAGGTTCTTAGCCTTATTAAATAAAAATTGAACGCGCCTTCGCTAGCTTCTTATTAATTCGCCGAGTCTGAATCGTCGTCGTGATCCGTTCCGTTCTCGTCGGTTTGTCCTTTTTCGCGTTCCTTTCACCGTGATACGATGGAGAGAAACGGAGGATGTTACAACGAAAGATCGATTTAGACGCGGAGAGGTGGAAGGGAAGGGTGCTGCGAGCGGGAAAAAGAGAGACTATTAATGTACTAAATGGAGCCCAGCCGTCAGCGCGTGTAATTTACGCGTTTGCTCTTGCGTCAATCCAACGGCCCTTTATGTCGCGCCATTGTTGAATGGTTTCGTAATCGACGAAAGGATTTCTCGTACCCAGGCAACATCGTTCGCGGCTCACCAGGCATCGCCCGGATCATTTCGAAATCCTTCGAAAATGTTTCCTCACTTTAAACTATACGTGTTGTAATACGATTGTTAAATAAATCGGGCAGTTCACAAATACAACCGCCGAGCGGTTTAAGCTCGCGATGTCGCTCAATGGCGATTTACCAAATTACCAGGCACTCGAGTAACAAGAACGAGGATCGTTTCTTTTTTGCGAGATCTCCGTATAGCTCATTTTAGATTGTAGCGGTATGTACGCTTCGTGGGTATTAAAATATAATCCGGTAAGAGTGGCGCTTTCGCTTGGTCGGTGTGTAACGAATCATCAGGAATCATCAGGAACGGGGCCCGGGGCCCGGGGCCCGGGGCCCGTCACACGCCGCGAAATACGCGCACACGTATGCGGCGTGCACCGCGTGTGCAATGCGCGCAGTTTGATTGGCATGCGACACGGGAGTATTTGTGTACACGCTCTCGGTGCGAGGCCCGGGCCCGGGTATCTCTCTCTTTCTTTCTTTCTTCGTTTCGTATCCGCTGCCTGTTTGTAGAGGTGGGACTTCTCGAGTCATTCCGACCGCGCGCGGACGGAGAGAGGACCGGAGAGAGGCAGGCAGAAAAAAAAGATGAGGGATAACGACGACGTCGAGGGTGGGGGCGATCGCGCTGCCGGAAGTATCAGCTGTCTTGTCGTACGAGTACTTCTATATTAATCCCCGCTGCACGCAGCGCGACTGCACATTGTCCGGTCAACGGACCTGGAGCGGCGGAGTGAGTTGAAATTTCGCCCGGCCATTGTCCTTCGATCGGCTCTAACCGCGAGATCTCCCATTGAGAAAACCCTCGAGCGTCGGCGCTCCTCCGCTCCTTCCGCGTAGGTCGCCCCCGTAACGCTCGCTTAATGGCGCCCTTTTCTCCATTCATCCAATTAAGGGGGCCTCTCGCGTGTTGGCTTACAATGTCGAGGAGAGATCGACCGGCGGTGATTTATGGAATGGCACGCCCTTGTCCGCGATGAAACGCGACGAGAAGTAAGGGAATATTCGATTGTCAGCGCGACTCGACCGGTTCCTAATATGTACCGAGTGTGATCAGGGGCCGTTAGCAGTCGGTGCCCCGCTCCCTCTCCCTCCTCCCCTGAAGACGTCACTTCGGATATTCATCGGAGATGCCGAGTCGCGGTCCGTCATTTTCGCGCGCCTCTCTTCCGACGCGAGTCGCGACGACGCACGTTCGTGCGTGAAATCCTCCCGCCGTTCGCGTCTCAGGCCGTTACGATATACGCGCGATATTGTCGATTATTACGACCTCAGGAATTTCTGTGACCTCTCTACCGTATGACGATCTCGCCTATCGATCGGATAGGCCTGTTGCGGCACGGTCACGTGCCATCTGCGCCACGTGGCTCGTCTACCGCGCGGCCACGAACATGTTAACTTCGCTTGCGGTAATACCTCTGCGACTACCTCGTAGCGATCATTTTGCAGCGCGTTGACTTCAAGGGAGATCTGCGAAAAAAAAAAGATCCGCTTGATAATCGCTTCGTTTAATATGCCTCGCGTATACGTCGCGCGTCGTGATGAATGACGATTACGGTCGATTTATATTATAATTAAGCACGTAATATCGGATCGGATCTCGGATTATTTAGTAATATATTTTCCCGCGGCAAACATGCTTTGCGGTGTTTCCTCACGGCTTTCCTACGCGTCGATAATTTGGTATGTGGTTTTGCATCGGTGATCAAATTAAAGATAAGGTTGCTCGGCTAGTCCGCAACTTAGTAATGCGCGCGCGCGCACGATTACAAAGCCGCCGAGCAGGTTTCAGCCCCCCGATGCAGGCTTCGATCTAATCCCGGTCTGGGATTCTTCGCGTCGATTTTTTCCATTCGTCGAACGACTGTTTGATTTTCGAGAAACCGACGCCGTCGATTTCATCCGTCAGTCCGTCCGTCAGGAATTCTCTATTTAGACTCGTACATTCGATCCGCGGTGACGGATTTCCAAATATTGAAAGAGGCACACGAAGACAAAAAACCCCGTTTCTCTTATGAGAATGACAGTGAGATCGGTCGCGCGGTCCCACGGCTAACACGAGAAACGCATTAGCACGCGTCCTACGATATATTTCTTATTGTTCCGCGATGGTATCCCTTGATGTGCGGATGGTATCTTCGGCCAGCCGGCCGGCGCGTTTGCATGTCCCCCGTCGATCGTTTGTCTTGTCGACGAGGGAGTACTACGATGTCGTCCAGCCACCGCGTCGGTGCCGAATGGTGTCGAACGGCGAGGGAGGTACGTCGAGAATTCGTAGCGGCACGCCAAACTGAGGTCGACGCGGACATAGGGGTCGTCTCTTGAGAAACGAATTATTACCTAGATCTTTCTCTCAGAACCTGGAATAGTTCTGGCTTCTCGGTTAGTCGCTCATTTAATTATCCATTAATGCATTGACCAGGTGCCGACAAGGTGAGGAGGAGACTGGATCCCTTCTGTGCTTTGACTCCACCTTTTCCATCTTTTACCTCACTGTACTCTCATTTCCCTCTCCCGTCTCTTTCCCGTAGCTTTATTTGCCATACTTTCTTCGTCCTCCTCCCCTCGGTTCTGACTATTCCTTGCAATGCGTAATTACGACGGACCTCGTTACACGCGCGACTATGTACCTACCCTAGTATATTTATTATATGTTTGAGAAAAAAGAGGAAGAGGCGAGGACAGAGAAAGCGGAAACGAAAAACAAAACTCCCGGTATCGAGACCGAGGAATACAAGCACAGATGGTTCTTATTTGTGTACGAGCGACGATTATCCAATTAACTGTTTTCCACGAGGGAAATTGATAAGGTTGATCTAGACGTCCGCGCGATCCACGAGAGACATCAGCCGGTCGTACGCATTCGATTTTATGCGAATGAATGCGCTCCTTCCGCACCGCGTTCTCCATTGGTCGCGCGAGTGCTCGAGAGCCGGCACGTAAGATCCATCGGACCCGGAGCCTTTAAACATCATCTAATAGCCAGACAGACCGGCACGGAGCTTTTTGTCGCGCGCTCATAAATATTCCCTGGCATCCGTTAATAGACGCTACCCGCAGCGCTGCGGGGAATTGCTAATAGATCGTTAATAATTCGCTATCTGTACCGCCAGCCAAGTCCGACGCTCGCGAGCGTCGCTCGTGAAGCGCAATGAAAATTAATTGTTTCTCTTTCCCCTTCGCTCGGCAATCGTCAGGCGAGATCACCACGCGCGAGCCGCTCGATCGTGAAACGAAAGGCGTCCACGAGTTGGTTCTGGAGGCGCGGGATCAGGGAACGCCGTCGAGAGCCGCCAGGGTGCCTCTGAAGATTACGGTCCTGGACGTCAACGACAACACTCCCGAGATCGTCGATCCTCAGGGGGATGTGGTCAGCGTCAGGGAGGAGCAACCATCGGGAACGGAAGTCGCCAGGGTGCGAGCGCTAGACATGGATCTCGGTGAAAACGCCTCGGTGACGTACAGCATCTCGAAAGGTAAGGGTTGCACGAGTTATGAGTTTAACGTTGCTTTAATTTATCTCGTGTCTTAATCTCGCGATGATAGCTGCCTGCATTCTCGATTATCCGTTCGTCGCTGTGTGCGACCAATCGGTTACGCGCCGTTCGTTTAATTAAGAAACCCGCACTTCTGCCTCGGATATGATTATTCCCCGGTAAGAAAATATATAAATTACAATTAGCTGCGTATGTGTATACGGTCAATAATTGCGCGGCTTCGTTACGAGGGCGCCGGGCTGAGTCGCGAAGAGTCGGGAATAATAGAGAAATAGCGAGAGAGGGTACTTACATGCCGGAGATTAGACGGCAGGCTCGGTTTTTTTTTTTTTTTACCGGTTCGCTCTAGACTCCTGTGGTAGAGCAAACTTTTTTGAGGCTTTAATAACCCAGTAGCAATTACAGAAACAATTATGCACGGTCTTAAAAGCAGTCGCGAACGTTTTTGTCGGGCGTGTTATCCCCTGAGCGAGATGCCTCGCCGCCGCCTGTGGAAGAAACCATGCGCCGGACCGTTCTGGAAGCGCTTACGATTGGAATCGAATTTTCCTGATCGCAAACGGTGAGAGAAAAATTTTGATCGCGAGATTAAATCTTAACATCGCACCGTGGAATATATTGTTGAGGAATACACCGATGTACCTTTCCCCGTCCACGTCATGCATTTCATCCCGCGCTTTATCGCGGCACCTATTTCGCATACACGATTCTCCTTAGGGTCAACGGCACAGATACCAGATAGTTTTTTTTTTTTTCTGGCCGCGCGCATAGCCCGCGTTCGAGTTCGCAACAGCGGAATAATCGTCCAGGCGCAATTTTGTCCGTCCATCTCCCGGGGTAATATTTCTCCGTTCGCACAATCTAACTTCGTTTTTCGCTGCAGACCGAGACTCGGACGGCTACAACGTCTTCAGCATCGACCCGATCACTGGCATGATCAGGACCAAGGCCGTGCTCGATCACGAGGAGCACAACGTGTACCGGGTGTCCGTAAAAGCGGCCGACGCCGGTCATCCGCCGCGACACAGCGAGCGCGTGTTGCGAGTCGAAGTTCTGGCACTCGCGGACAACCGGCCGACCTTCACCAGCAGCAGTCTTACCTTTAACGTGAGTAACCATTGACCTCCCGGTAGGATTCATTTTCCCATCAGATTCGTTTCTAGCTTCGTTGGACGCCGCGGGTATCCATAGTTCCCTCTTGCAATTATTCATTAGAACATTTATGATCATGCTGACATCCCACAGACGGAGCGTCTCGTCGCCGTTGTTACGTACATTTCCCGCGGATAGCATCGTATATGCAATTTATGCCACGTTAGAAATTCTGTAGAAAATTCTATGGGAGATTGAAACTTTATTGCAATCAGTATTGATTATTATTGATTATTATCGTTCAATTAAATTAACATCTTTTCCTTATTTAACTTCTTCCGCTATAATCGTTCTTGGAAAGACGATATGTCGCAATAATTTAATATATATTTCTATATTATAATATTTATAAAATGATTAATTTAGATATAAATACTTAGTCTAGAGTTTTATTGTTAAGAGTACTGCTTCTTTAGTTTTGATTAATATATAAAAAAATTATTTTTAAGAAAGAGAATTTTTTTATAATATGAGAAGTAAAGAACGTGGATCCAAAGAATGTGAATTAAACAATAGACGTTTAACGCATTTAGGTACGCGAAGATGCAAGTATCGGGCATGCGGTGGGATCGGTATCAGGGGCGGGTCCTGCGGGTCGCGTGGCCTACACATTGGACTCGTTGACGCCGATCACCGAGTTTCCAGCTTTCGATGTCGATCGCAGCTCGGGTCAGCTGGTAGTCGCTCACTCGCTCGATCGCGAGAACGTAAGCGAGTATCATCTGGAGATTCGTGCGTTGGACACGACCTCGCTCGGAAATCCTCAGAGTATCGCCGTCTCCGTGAAGATCGTCATAGAAGACGCCAATGATAATTCACCAAGTTGGCCGCAGGATCCGATAACTGTTCGTGTGTCCGAAAAAGCGACGATTGGCTCGACTATTTACAATCTCACAGCTAACGATTTGGATAGCGGCCTAAATGGCGAACTTAGATACAGCCTTGTAGCTGAGTTCCCGCCGAAGAATTGCTTCGCCGTGGATTCCTTGACTGGCGCTTTAACACTGGCCAAACAATTAGACAGAGAGGAGAGAACGGAATATACTTTGATTCTCAAAGCATCGGACCGGGCACCACCGGGGGAGCAATTAGCCTCCACAGTCACAGCAAGAATCATCGTCCTTGATCAAAACGACAACGATCCTGTCTTCGTTGCGCCGGAAAATACCAAGATAAACGTCGCATTGAATCTTCTGCCTGGTGAGTATGTTACAGATTTATGCAGATACTTAGTAAGATGATTAATTGTTTTTAATATTTTTTTTTTAATGCATTAGGTGCTAGCTTGATAAGAGTCGTCGCCGTGGATAAAGATTTTGGCGATAACGGTCGGATATCTTACGTGATAACCTCGGGCAACGAGGAGTCGCGGTTCACCGTGGGCTATGAATCTGGCATCGTGAGTCTCGCGAAGCCCATTGCAAAGCCCACGGAACTCGAGATCACAGCCAACGATCACGGATCGCCACCTCGCAAAGCCGTACTGAAATTGAGTCTGAATCCGATGACCGCGCAGACGAATGGGCCTCATCGACTACTGTTGTGTAATCCAATCGCTAGGATTTCCGAAGGCCTTAACGTTGGGTCGCACGTGGCGAACGTTGCAGGGCCAGCAATTACGGATCAAGGTAAGAATGAAGATCTTATATTTGTAATATCATTGATATGTTTCTACTGTATGCCGCGTCAGATGTTAAACTAAGATTTATTAGAATTTTTTTATTATTCATCATCATGGTTGAATATAAAATTATTATTATTAAATATCAAATCAATTCAATTTACGATCTCAAGCGAAACGACGTAAACGTATGTTCGCGGAATATAATACCGCGAGAAGCGAAGCAAGCAACGCGATCGAAATTTATCCTTAAAGCATAACGAAGATGCGTGAGAGGACCAAAAATGGCGAGGATTCTTAGATACTTTATTCTTATTGTTTCGGTGGTGCGTAAACTCGGTACAAACGGGGCTGTCAATTTAGTGGCGTGTAAGGCGCCCGCGGCTAAAATTACAGTCTGCTATCTCTCATACTTCTCTCGTGCGTCTCACTCGTGTTTCTGACGATCACGATTTCTCTTTCTCTTTTGTGTCTTCGGCATAGATAATGCATGTCGGAGTTTGCCGCCCTGCACATGCCACCTACACGCTACACGCACACAGTGCCGCATAATCGCGGCCGCGCTCAACGCGGCTAATAGGAAAGCCTTGCTATGAAAATACCTGGAATAATTGCCTCGAATCCGGCCGGTACCAAACATTTACACGGTAAATTCAGCGAAATGATTCGCGCGGCTCGGACTCCTTCGGCTCGGTCGTCGGCAACGCCGTTCCATTCAGAGTACCCCGCTGCGGCCGGGTCCCGTTCGTTTGCATCCTCTCCTCGCGCGTGCATACCTTAAAAAGCAAGTCGAGATCTGCGGTGAAGAAAATTCTGAGATTTGTTTGTCTCCGTGGAATATATCGTCGTTTTCATCGAGAAATGCGTCCTGTTCCCTCGGAAAATGCGATAACGAGTTTTCGAATGAGCTCATTTGCGTTATTTACGACAAGAATCTTTCGCATCTTTCGCGAGATGCGCGAAATTAACTCTCTCGCGATGTCGCTAATTATCGTTGCGGGAATCTCGCGAATGTGTAACCAAACGCGTCAGACGAGTCCGCGCCATATATTAGCGATCCCGCGAGGAGGAGTCCGGCATCCAGGAAAAGGAGATGTGTTTCTCTCGGAGGCACTATTTCCGGAAACTATTTATCGTGTACTTGCACCAATGCTCGATAATATTTTTCATCGTACGAGGAAAACGGTAATAAGCTAAATGTCAATTATGTGCGTCTGATAAATGCTCCACGAGAACGTGCTTACGCGCACGATGATCGCTACACTTCGCGCATCATTTCTCCGCGATAGATCCGCATACTTGCGTTCAATGCGCGAGAGTCAACCCGATTCAGCCGGTTTGAGTTCCCGACGAACGGTTAAAGCGCGGTAACCAGCCCGATCGAAGCCGAGAGCACGCGGTGGGCATATCTCTGATTCCGCACTTATCTATCGCAACGCCGGACGAGCGCATTAGCGCACCCCGCAGATGCGCCGAAGATGCCGGTCCCTCGGGACCAGCGGCTCGATAATACATAGGAAGGAGGTTGTTGCGAAATGCGGGAACGGCAGCGATTTAGAGAGAGAGAGAGAGAGAGAGAGAGAGAGAGAGAGAGAGAGAGAGAGACGAAAC